CGTATTATTCAATTTATACCAATCATTATTCAGAATGAAATAAAAGGTCACCTTACCATTTGGGTATTACAGTGCCCCGAAATGGGCTCTGTTGACACTACTCTAGGAACTAAACATAATACTTTAGTTTAAAGGGGGTTACACGATAAGGTCGAACAAGGGGGAATTTGTCCATTAGAAAGAAAGGCGGACCCCCTATGGTGTAGAACGACACCCCGTACGTAGCAAAGGATATGCCGTGACGATCTAGCATGTCCCGCGCCGCTATGGACGCGGCACGCCCACCGACTGGCTAACCACTTGCCGCAGTCTCTAGCCGTTTAGGAGAGAGCGCTAACGTTGAAGAGGGCAGCACTGATGAGAGTTGCATCAATGCTAAAACCGATGGGCCAGAAAGGGCCCCAACTTTCAGGTAGATCTTTTCTCATGGTTTTTCTTCATCTCTGCACCACTGGCCTTCTATAACCCGAATTCCATTGGGCTGCCCTCTGGTAAACTCCCTTTAAGGTAGGGATATCTCACTCATAGGGCAATTGATTAAATCAATAAACACTTTATTAATGTGAGTCGAAGATTTCAATGTAGCAAAAACTTAAGCTCATAGAAAAAGCGATTGAACGAATTATGGAGTCTTACTTATAGATAGGAAAATTCTAGAAACGACTCTGGAATCAGGGCGATACTCAGCCGAAAACGGTCAGGGGGTTTGGTATTGCAGCTGAAAGTGCTGTGAATTTTCAGCCATGAGCTGAGTGATCCATTGTTCCCATACTGGACATTGAACCTCCAGAGTGATCCATTGAGCCCATGCTAGACATGGAACCTCCAGAGTGATCCATTGTTCCCATGCTGGACATGGAAGCCTCCCGAGTGATCCATTGAGCTCATGCTGGACATGGAACCTCCAGAGTGATCCATTGTTCCCATGCTGGACATGGAGCCTCCCGAGTGATCCATTGAGCTCATGCTGGACATCGAACCTCCAGAGTGATCCATTGAACCCGTACTCATACTTCGAGCCTAAAATGAAAATATATCTTGCACTAGTGTTGAGATGAATGTGCTCACGGAAGATCGCAAAGCTGAACTCACCACCACCCATACCACCCATACCCATCATCATCATGTGAGGCATCATCATGTGGTGC